ATGAGTTCCATGCTAAGCTGGATTGTGACATCGACGGAGTGCCAAGAGCAGAATCATGCAAATCATACCACTCTCCAGTTGTGGGGGAGTTGGTTGCCCCATTGTTTGCTGCAGCTGACTAAGCTACACCGTTGCGGAAGATCGCGCGGAATTTGATGAATGATTGGGATGTCCATGCTTTAGTTGACAAAGCGTGCTTCTTGCACGCCATTTCCCAGAGCAGGGTGGAACGCAGCACCGCTGATTTGCAGAGGTGTGTTGGCGCGGTTCAGGCGGCCTTCCAGGGCGACCGAACATCTTTTGATGCGACCATTTTTTGATGAGGATGCAGTGGCGGCGGAGGCAGTTTCAGCCGAGCGCTTGAGAGCGCGAGCCAAGTCTGTCCACACACAGTGCGCACGAAAAGGGAAAGGCATTCAAGCACGCGAGGCATGGCAAGGCCTTGCGAAGAGTTCAGGTGGCAACAATTTCGCTCCACCCACCATCCTAACTTTCGACGGGGCATCTACTGCGGACCGCGCGCAATGGGCAGATGCATGGGAGAAGCTTGCGGAGGACAATTTCGCGACGGACTCCTGAGCACACAGCAGCTTGGGAATCCTTGTTGACAGTATTGAGATCCACGTCGCAGGCATGTTCACTAGACGGGCACCCTGTCCATCAACCATATTTCACCGACTTTAGTTGATCAGCTTTCAGTTTGCGGGGTGCCGCGGCGCCTGGTGCGGATTTTCTGGAAGTGGCTGCCTGGCGCCAGGTGCCTTATTGGATGACGCCCCGATTGTGCGATATTTTTGGTCCAGGAGCGGTTTAATGACATTTTCTGGTACACGCGTATCATGGATAGTTGGCATGTGTTCGAACTTCTGGGGGCGCCGAAGGTGGCGTGTCAGCAATATTTCAAAGACTTTCGCTGGGTAGGAATCATTGACCACATTTGCAAATGGCACGGGGCCAAAGTCTACACAGCAATATCCAGATGCACCCAGGCCCCGGGGAATTCACGCTGCTATGGGTACAAGCGTGGAGCTTCTGTCGACGATTGTTTTGCAGTTCGCTATGAATCCGCATGCTATTCTACGAAATGGGCCGAACACACATTTGATTTTAGGATCTCGAGGCATACGCACGGTCTTCGACTCTGTGGAGCACGTTGACATGTTTGGACATCTCTGGGAGGCAGGTGCGAGTGCTCACCAAGTGCTGTCCCTCGCTAGGGACTACCACGACCTGAAGGTTTCCCTCAACGCACTCGGCATTGCGACGACAGGCGGCGTGTCGATGGGAAAGGGCATGCGGACAGGAGGCAAATTTGAGCCTTCGGTGTTTGTCCAGATGTTCGATGCTGCCTTGGAGCTGTTGGCAAGGGAGTGAGATGTTTTAGGTTGCGGGCTTGTTGCGTAGGACGGGTCGGGCGATTGCACATATTAGCTGGGTCGACAATGCATTCATACTTGCATCGGGCGTACGCGAAAGGCAGTTTATAACGGCGGCAATGACAGCAGTGTCCAGAGATAACTATGGATGGGCATGGAAACCATCGTCGCTGGAAGTTTGAGCGGCGGGCGTTGCACTGAGGCCGCGAAATCTTCGGATCTATGGAAATGGCACCGGTTTGTTGTGCAAAAGCGCTTCTCGAATTGAAGTGTTTGGGGGGCTGTTCATTCTGGAGAGCCCGACTGCAGAGCTGATCGAGCATAGATTCGGCAAGGCAGAAAAGTGTCATTTCAAATGTCAGAAACCATTCCGGGGCAAGGCGCTGGTGATTTCGAAATTACGCGCTTACGCCGGCGTGCCGCGAGCGTGCGCGCTCTTTCTCGCCCCCGTGGTGCACTGGGGCAATGCCGCGCTGCAAGACGCACTCCGTCGGGAAGGAGACCTTTTGAGGCGAGCGCTTAAGTTCAGACGTCGGCCGTGAGAGGGCCCCACGGAGTTCAACCGGCGGACTGCGCATCAATTGGACAAGTGTTTCACGCATTCAAACTTCGCCCCCATGCGCGCGACTATCCTCGCGCGCATGCGCGCGCATGGAAAGAGAAGACCACGGACCATTTGGCTTCGTGCAGTCGAGTTGACCGTGGCCGGGAGTGGCGGGGCACGTTGAAGGGCGCCCCCACAGCGCGCCGCGCTGCCTTCGGAGTTCACAGGCACAGAGGACAGCAGATAGTTGAGGACGCGATCTTCTTCGAAACTTGGGGCGGTCAGTGGCGCGAGCGTTTGGGCGACGCCCAGTGCAAGGAGGAGTGGATGAAGGGTCAGAGAAAGTTCGTTAGGGAAGCACGCGCTGCCTTGGCTCCCGGGCGCGCGCGAGGCCGCGTCGCAGGAGCAGCCGCGCGCGCCACTCACCGGGAGAACCCAGACGAACGATTGGAGTCTTGAGTGCATGCCTTTACCCCGCGCCTTGCCAAGGGACAGCCTGCGGTCAACGACCGCGTCGAAGCCTCAATTAGAATTCGTCGTTGACAACAAGGTGTTGGCGGACATCGGCAATGACATTGAGGGCGTGGAGAACGAGTATTACCGGGGGCCGCGAGGCCGTATCCGCACGAATGTGCGTTATTTGTTCAACCACCATTTTGAACACAAAGGTTTATTCCTGGATTCTGTGGATTGGAGGCCCGGGGAGCGCAACGCCGCAGCAGACCACGTTGCCAGTTGCGCATTGACGCACAACGCGGACCACGACACCTTATGCGAAGACATGGCGATAGAAGCGCCACTGTCTTCCTGGGGGCTGCAGGTTTTCTTCTCGGACGGAGCTTTCAAAGACGGTCGTGGAGCCATTGCTACTGTGCTCATGATTGTGGCCCATGAGCACGGCGCTATCAAGACGAGGCCGCTCGTGGCCATCGGCCAGCAACTACAACCAGCCTGCTCAGTTTTCAATGCCGAAGTCGCTGCTCTGGACACAGCGATTAGCATTGCGAGATCAATTGTGGGAAGCAGGACACGGAAACGTAGAAGGCATCATTGGGCGTGCGCGTGGTAGTAGCAACACGAGCAGTGGCGCTTTGCACAAACAAGCTCTGCGCAGCGCCGCCAAGCGCTCCCAACCATTATCGCGCGTTTATACCCGGCCAGGCCCATAATATTTCTTGCTGAGCCCTGCAAATCGTTGCTTTTCCCTGGCAGGCCTTGCTAGGCCTTGTTGGGCCTTGCCAGGCCCTGCTGAACTTTGCGAGGCCCTCCTGGGCACGCCGAGCCATCCCCCCTGCGAAGGCCTCAAGCGCTGCGTGGACCTGCTACTAATAAATCGTATGCCAGGCCCTGTTGAGCCCTGCGACACAAGGCCCTGCTAAGGCTTGCCAGACCATGCTAATGTTTCCAAGCATTGCTGGGTGCCGCTAAGCATTGCAAAGCTCTGCTGGGTGGCGGCGAGCCATGCTAGTCGCTTCTACCGCTACGAGGTACAGCTCGGTCCTGCTGGGCAGCTTGGTTTGGCCGTCATGGGGCTTGCTAGGCGCTGCTGAGCGCCGCTAGGCCCTGGTGCGCCCCGATCAGCCATGCTAAGCCATGCCGAGCGCTGCGAAGCGCTGCTCAGCTCTGCCAGCTCTAGCTAAGCGCTGCCAAGCTTTGCTATGCCCTGATCAGCCCCACTAATCATTGGTGAGGCCTGCTTAACCCGACTCAGCTCTGCCCAGCGCCTGCTTAGTTAACGCCCCGCTAGGCCCTTCGAGGCGCTGCTAAGTCCTGCAAAGTCCCGCGGAGCGCTGCTAAGCGTTTCTACGCCCTCCCAAAGCTTGGCCAAACCTTGCAAAGCTTTGCTAGGCCCTGGCAGTCCCGGCTCTGGCCTGCTAAGGCTTGCTAAGCCTTGCTATGCCCTGTTTACGCGATTATGAGTTGTGCTAGGCCGCGCTAAGCGTTGGTATGCCCTGCGAGGCCCTCAAGCACTGCGAAGCCCGTCTGTTCGTATAAGTATACTGCCCCCCGCCCCACTGTTGCTGTTGTGGGCCGTTCGGGGCCGTGCGCACGTGTGTGGCGGCGTGATGTTAAAAACCAAGTCGGCGCGTGCGGCAGAATTCTTGATTCTCGACCCTTCGCGTATCCCCAACAGCCCACCCAAAAACACCCGCCAGTCGAATTGGTGGAAGAGGGGTGAGCTCACCCTGACCAGGTGCCGCCCGCGTCCTCTTCCAATGGCTTCGAAAGCGACAACGCTGACGATTGGGACTACGGCTGCGACCGCGGCGAGGTAACTATTACTATACGAGCGGGATACATTCAGGGAGCGACGACAGACAAGCTTTCAATCAAAGCAGCCAAAAGCTCCCTCTGCGTTCGATGCGAAGCGTCCGCGTCGTTGCTGCTCATGGTTGTCATGGTTGGGTGGTTGCTTGACGCCGATTGCGGTGCCTGCGATACGTAGTGCGTCCCTGGGGCCACCTTGGTGGAGTGGTTTCCTTTCGTTGCTCGCCGTGCGCGCTTTGATTCGGGCGCGTGTAGACCACCGGCGACGACGATTACGATTACGACTGCGACTGAGACTGCGTTTACGACTACGACTACGATGACGACACGACGACGACGACGGATAGTACGACTAGGACGACTCCGGGCCCGAAAACTAGCCCCTCGGGGCCGTCTTGGAGCCATCTGGGGCAAAAGAGGAGCCTCTGACACTTCGATTGTGGGGGATTCCAGATCCGTCGGGGGGGTGCTTTACCGAAGGGGAACCAAGGGGGTTTGTAGAACGAGCTTTCCCAGGTTAACAGAACTCTTTCCCTAGAACACTCGCGCCCAGAGGGCTGGTGGGATCTGCTTTCGAGCCCCGCCCTTGGACTTCATCCATGACTGCGCGGGCTATTGTATAGCATCGCTTCCTCTAGCACACCTCTTGCCACCCATTCGACGCAGCTGCATCGGGAGCGTGCTCTGTAAAGACTGCAGCGCCAGTTCTGCCGGCCTGGACATGAGCGCTGGCGCAGTATCCCCCTGGGTTGGGAGCCGTGCCACCCCCCAGTGCCCACCCGGCTATCGGTCGAGGCATCCGGAACCCTCAGGCGACCCGCGCGCCCGCGCCGGCAGACGGCGGGCAGCCTCCCGAGGAGGCTCTCCTTGCGACCGCGGGGCCCTCACAGTTTTCCAGTGCCAGTGTGACGGTGGACGGTCAGGCAGTTCGGGCGCCGCTGGCCCAGGCAGATGGGCTGCTGGAGGGCGGGGTGCAGCCCAAGCCGTCGGGGGGCACGGGCGGCTGCAGCGGACATGGCATCGCAAAGCTGTTCTTCAGCAGGCGCCGCACGGTCGCCGCTGGCTGGTGCGAGGCGTGCGCTCGTCTGGGTGGGCAGAGAAGTACAGCATTGTGTGCGGCGTTGAGGCGGGCGAGCGGTGTGTGCGTGAGTGTGTGTGTGTGTATGTGCGTGCGTGCGTGCGTGCGTGCGTGCGTGTGTGCGTGTGTATGTGTGTGTGTGTTTGTGTGTGTGTTGGTCTTCGCCTTCTTCGGGCTTGGTCGCCATGAGCCGGTGATTACTCTCCATCGCCGCGTCGAAGGAAACAATCGTGTGTGTATGTATGCGAGTGTGCGTGCGTGCGTGTGTGTGAACGTGCGCTTGTGCAAGGAAGGCAATTCGTGGCAAACGCGTCCAACTACCTTGTGTTCGTGGTTTGGAGTCAGCCGCGCGGAGTTTGTGTATGTGCGAGTGGGTGTGTCCCAGCGTGTCGAGTCCAGTCTGTGCCCCCTTTCTGTCTTCCCCAACGCCAGCCATACCTTAGCGTCTTGTCTTGCTGGCTCATGGCCCGCCCTAGCGCTTTCGCAGCCGTCCAGTCTTTGCAGCCGACTTTCCCGCGTTGCCGTATGTTCCGGGCTCCAGCATGCCCCACGTTGGTCCTCTAGCCCCTTTGGCTGGTTAGGACAAGTCCGCACCAACTTTCGGACCGCTGGGTGCGGCCTGTTGTGAGCTCCTTTGGTGCCCTCTGACAAGCCGTACGTACGAACGTTCGAGCGCGCGCGGTATGGAGTTAGCCGCGCTTGCTGATGCTGCGCTTGTCGTCGATCGTACCGATTGATTTTGCAGGCAGGGAGACGAATTCCAGCTCTATGAGTTTGACACGTTAATTGTTTATAGCTATGTGTATATATATAGATGTATATATATACACACATAAACAAAAAAACGCCGGGCCCCCTCTCGCGGCGTCCTCCACCTAGCTCACATGTGGATTACGCTCCCGATACCGCGTTTCCCGGCCTCCCTGGGAGTTCTTAAAATGCCCAAAGACAGCCCAAGACGACCCCAAGAAGCGCCCAGAACGTAAAAGACAGGCCCAAGACTCTCCCAAGCAACCTAGGATAGCTTTCCGACGGCTCTCCAGGCTCCCAGGAGGCCTCCGAGAGACCCCAAGAGAGCTCCCAAAGGCCTGGCGCACGCCCGGAGAAACATTTTTGCTAGGGTTTTTTGGCTTGCTCTCCATTTCATGCTTCCAACGCTCCAAGGCGGCCGAAGAGGCCCCCAAGAAGAATTCCAGAGATTCCCTGTTTTCTTCAAGTTCAATAAATACGCCCCCCCTCCTCCCGGGGGTCCCACACCCTCCCGGAACATTTGCGGAACGCTCCCGGTACCGCGCTTCGCGACCTCCCAGGGAGCCCCCAAAACGCCAAAGGACAGCCCAAGACGACCCCAAGAAGCGCCCAGAACGTAGAAGATCGGCCCAAGACGCTCCCGAGCAACCAAGGATAGCTTTCGGGCGGCTCTCCAAGAGATCTCAAAGACCGAGGAACTTGAAAAAAAGGAAATCTAGATATTCCCTTTTTTTCAAGCTGGGACTCCTACTCCCTATCCTCTTCTTCGAGCCCCATCAAGACTTCGGGGTCACATGCAAATATTGCTCGGAAGTGCTGTTGAATTCTCGAACGCTGTCTTGGCACGCTCTTGGATCGTCTTCGTGTTCTTTTGGCTGCCCCTGAAACCACCGTATAAATCGAGATCCCATCATCCCATGCGTCGAACAAAAAGCAACAATGTTCAGAATTCTCTGTTTGATTAAAAATCACCTCATGCTTATCCTTGCACGAAGACCACGAGAGGCATCCCAGCAGACCGTGGCCTGCATCCAGAAATCTTCTAACCCACAGCCTAGGCACGGCAGCTTGAAAAAGGGGATCCCACAATTGCTTGTTTTTCAAGTTCTCCCCCTTTGTTTACTAGTGCCCAACCTACCACAATTAAGTTCTCTCAGCTCCCAGAAAAAGAATCCAGGAAGTCTTTGAGGGCCCCGAATCGTTGAATACCGAACGGGAGTTCATGGTTTCTGCGTTTGCGCAGTTCCCTTCCCATACGATTTCGCGGTTTGGGCAGGGCTTCTAAAAGAGACCCTGGATGCGAGAAACGACCGAAATTGTATCCCATGAGTTAGCCCATCAAACCTAGCTAGAACTTGATGGCACGCGAAACGCGCGATGGTTGTAGTGTATATATATATATATATATATATAGATATACACATGTATGCGCATGTTGGTGCGTTATCTCGCTATCGGTTGCCTTCATAGCCTTCTCGGCAATACCTGGTGCGCGCGCGCGCCCCTGGAGCGCGCACAGCCGTGCGTGCTTTTGGCGGGCCTGGGCGTGGCGTACGCTGTCTTTCCGCATCTGCTCGGGACCTGGGTCTCGGGCCTCTGGGGTCAGGAGCGACAAAAGGACGTACACGTACATGAATCCACGCTGGTTTCGAGAGTACGCATAGCGCAAATGTTCGTATAACGCGGCAGGTCTCGCGGATCGAGGGGCCGTGTTCATGTACATAGCTGGGCGCGTACGTCCTTTGTGGGCTCCCTATGGGGGCCGGGCCCAGGCTGCCCGGATGGCACGCCGGTGGTCGAGTGCTCGGCCTGCCCGGCGTGCGCCCCGGCGGCCGCTGGCCCGCCGAGCCCGCTGCGCCCTTCGTGCCACGGGTTCCCCGCGGACTGCCACTGCCGCTGCTCTCGGGCGAAGAGAACTATGCACATGCACCGGTCCTGGCAAGGCCCATTTTTGACCCAGGATCGGTGCATATGCCTTCCTGGCCAAGGTAGGAAGGCGTATGCACCGATCCTGGGCTCAGGATGGGCCTGGCCAGAATCGGTGCATGTGCATAGTTCTTTTTCCTCTATGCTCTTCCCCGGCCAGGGCGCAGGTGGCAGATCAGGCGCCGCTGCCAGGCCGCGTGTTAAGTTGTTTCCGCGCCCACGTAGCAGGGTGGCTTAAGAAAAAATGGTATACGAAAACCATACAATTCCAATAGAAGACCAAGATACAACAACAATACTCATAGACAAAAGCAATGCCAACATACGAAACCAACATACACAATCAAGATACATGTTCAATAAGAAAACACTACAAAGCCAATACAATACAAAACCAATACCAAACCAGTGCGACACCAACGCAACATTAGCCTGGCGAAGGACCCAACCATATGCAATCGTGAGAACCGCAGTTGAAAACACCGTCTTCCGTGGAGCTCCCTTTGGCGCCACCACGCGCGTGAGGGTGCGCAGAAATGTGTGGTGTGGAAGCACGCGGGCCGTGCCATTGAGGCTTTCGGTGGAGCTCCATCTCGGGCCACGAGACGCGTGAGGGGCGTGCCGGAATTTGCGTGGCGGGCACTCAGAGACACCCGCGAGGATTTTCGGTGGAGCCCCTGGTGGGGCCACGACACTTGTGAGCGGTGTGCCGAAGTGGGCGCGGGGGGCGCATGCGGGCCCTGCCAGTGGGGTCTTCGGTGTAGCTCCCAGGGGATCCACGAAACGTGTGAGGGGTGTGCCGAAATGAGTGTGGGGGGCGCATGCGGGCGGTGGCGCTTGGGCTTTCGGTGGGGCTCCCAATGGTGCCACGAAACTTGAGAGTCGTGAGTGTGTGAGTGTGTGTGTGTGTGTGCGTGTGTGCCGAAATTTGTGGTGGGGAGGCAGGCCGTGCCTTTCCACCATTTGGGGCGGAGGGCTCGGATTGTCTGTTCGTGTTCCCTCTCTTGCCTCTCGGGGCCGTCTTGGAGCGTCGGGCGCCCGAAAACGTTGAAACAAACGAGCAACATTGAAACCTACACGGGGGGTCCATACTTTTGGCATATTGGTGCCTTGTCTGGGGCCATATTGGAGCGTTCTTTGGGTTCTTTGGGGTCTGTTGGGGTCATCTTGGGCGTCGTGGGGAGCCGTTGGTGTATCTTGGAGGCCTCCTGGTCCCTCTCGGGTGTTTCTTCGGGCCTTCTGGGCCCGTTTGGGGTCCCTCTGGCCCCTGGAAGATTAACGCGACCCAGCCCGGTGGCGCCCGAGAGCGCCCGTGAATTTGGAGAATATGGGGCCCCTGCCTTCAGAGTGCTAGAGTCCCAGAGTCTCGAGTACAACCCCCCCCCCTTACCCCGACTGGAGCCCGGCGCCTGTGTGGCAAGACGGCCCTGCTGTGGTTATCTTGGGCAGTTGTAAGAGTTGGCAGACTTAGCAAGTGGTTTCGGAAAGTTATAAGTTGCGCTAACTCAACGCAAGTAGTTGCATGTATTTGCGTGTTGGCGTGCAGCCGCTGTATTTTTTAGCTTCCGAATTGATGATTCTCGATGCGCGAGGCGCAAGGGGTTCGACATTATGCATTCGAATGCACAATTTCTTGCGTTGCTGAGCAAAAGAAAGCAGGTAGCAACTCGCGCGATGTCTCACCACTTGAACATGGGAGGCACTATCGTGATTGACCCGGTTCCATGGCGCCTGCATGCCTTGCAAGTCTTCTAACCTTTCCAGCCGACCACGCGGACGTCCCATCCATCGCGAATGTCCACCATGCATTTTCCACAATTGCACGTGTGCGCTGCGGACAGTTGCTTGCAGAGAGCACGCCCGTATAGTTGGTGGTTCTGGAAACTTGACGAACGCCCCGCCATGGCAGTGATGATGTCGATCGTGTGCACCAGCTGCAAGTCCTCGTCGGCGGGGACCACGGTCAGCACGCCGAGCCGATCATCGTAGCGAGGGGCGTCCCAGATTGAAACCAGCGACACCATTGTTCCGTTTACAGCAGCGTGAAACCAAACTTCCCCACAAGCCTTGCCACCACTGGCAACGGACAGCAACGCGATGTCGCGGGACTGGCACGTCGACAACGTCGACACCCGAGCTCTCCGAGCCGTGGTCGTGCTGTTCCAGGGGAGGCGCTGGCCGAGCTTCTCCTCAAGGAAGGCGTGCATCTTCTCAGGTGCCGCCCTAGGGCGCACCAAGTGCGACGAGAAGTCGAACACGTTGGTGCTGTGTAAGTTTGCCAAATGCAGGCATGTGACCTCGGACAGCACGCCCCTCTCA